GACCGAGCTGGGTGCCGGGTACCGGCTCCGTCGGGATACGTCACGACACGCACCCACCTCCAAACCGCTGCGTTCCAGCGCTAGGATGCGTAGCAGGTGGTCTCTTATCTCACGAGAGAAACCCCAACATCCCCACATTTAAATACCAGTGAAATTTCCCTACGTCTTTGCGGTCCTGTCGCAGGCGAACCCCGGAAATACCTCGCACCGCTTTTTCCTTTCACAAAGACCTCGTTTGCAACCCTTATCAAACCTCCGCGTCGGCAGCTAGCGCTCCATTTGAAAGGTAAAGCAGATCTCATCCTAAAAGATGGTTTTGTTTCAGCCGGGCAGCTGCACGCTGCAGCGCCGTGGAGCTTGTGCTGGCTGCCTTGTCCGGGTAGCGCTGAGGATGAGCTGTGGCTGGTTTTATTTGGGATTTCTCATTTATTTGGTGGTTTTCTTTAAGATGCGGTGTCTAGGAAACGCGGCCTCCCCGGTGAGCCACGGCCAGGGCCATTTGATAGGGTGTTGTTGCCCGTCGTGTTCGCTTCAGGATCGGTTTACGGCACGGAAAAGTGGAAATTAAACTCGGCGTGCGGGTTTTTGGAGCCCTTCCAGGGACGAGACCCACGTTATGTGGGAGACGAGGGACGAACGCGCCCTCCCACCGTTGGGAGGGGACTCCCCACATCACCTTCCTACGGACCCGCCGGAGACCGGCCTCCCCGGGTGCTCGCTCCTCGGTGCGGAGGCTGGATCCCCCAAAGGCTGTGCAGCGCAGGGCATTTCCAGTCGGATTCAAGTTAGCCGTGAGCAGCCTTTTGGGCCCCTCTTTTTGGGAAGCTCGCTGCCTTCCTGCGAGCAAGGAGCCTTTTCCAGCGCCATGCAGAGTTGCAGCAGCTTTAGCTGCCGACTCCAGCGACCGTGCCTCCGAGCAACATTTTGGGCTGTTTGTGTCTTCCCTGTTACCGTGTGGTTTTCTCTTGCCTCCCAGCAAGGCAGGAGGAAGCGCTGTAAACAACCGCTGAATATTTCTGTGTATAAAGCATCTTTTGCAGGTGGGGTGTGCGGAACCGGCTAGGACCTTCACTCTGATTGTTAATTCTTGTTTTTCAGCTCAGGGTCATGGTGCCAAAGGGGACAACATCTACGAATTTCAGATCGAGTTCCTAGAACCGGTTGAACCTAAAGTAGGTATTTTCACTTTTCGAACTCTCGCAAAGAAAAAGTAATTTTTGCAAAACTTGAAAGCAAAATGGCTGTGCTTCAAGTCCATAATACGCCGTTTAGATTTTCCTGGTGACTCTGTAACTGCTGCAAACTAAAAGCCGCCTGTGGCAGTCCTCTGTCCTGGTGCTCAGCCACCACCCTGCCTTAATGCGAATCACCTCGCTGGAGATAGCGCTTGCATGGGTCAGCTTTAATAGAAACAGGGTCTTACATGTATTGGCTGTTAAACAGTAGTTGTAAATTTTTTTTAAGGATTTAAAGCAGCAAAATAGTGGGACAATCTGGCAACGTGTTGTCTGATGCAGCCTTGACTGGAGAGCAGGGGAACACTGTGCTGCGAAGCGTCAGCGTGATGTTTTCTGGTTTCTTTTGCAGCCCGCCAAAACAAAGTCATGAGAACTGGTGCTTCTGGCTTCTGCAGATTTCTTGGGTTGCTAGTACAGATATGCTGCGGCTCCTGTTGCAAAATCTTTTCTTAATTGCTGTTGTAGTCCGATAGCAGAGGGCTTGGCTGGAAGAGCAGCCCCTCTGTGTTACTCGCAGGTGGCTGTGAAGTCTGTCTTTACCTCTCAAAGCTGGTAGGGGCACAGGAAAACTCTGGGCTCTGCTCCCAGTGCAGGATTTGTGCTGTTTATTCCTGGCTGCCTGTTGGGGATAGCTGCAGTCAGACTGGGAGCCACCGTTCACCTCCGCTGCCTCGGCAAGGGAGGAGACCGTTCCCTCTGTGCAACGCAGCAAGGTGCCGGAGGGTAAATTTCTAGGGTCTGGTTGTCCTCAAATTGATGTTGAACCAAAAACTTTCTTGGGGAAAGGCATCCCCAGCTCTACGCTGCTATCAGCAGGCAGGTTTCTTGTGTGGCTCCTACCAGGTACTCAGTGGCAGACGATGAACATCTCCTGGTGCCAGGATCCGGTCACCAGTTTGTTTGTCCGTCCTGTAAAGCAGCAGCTGCCTGGCCCACAGCGTGGGGAGAGGTGCCCACCACCGCCCGCGCTTGTCCCCTGCGCTGGCAGACACGGGCTGTGCTGGGAGCCAGGCCTGGAAGGCAAGCCCTTGCCTCTGCAGAGCAGCCTCCTTCCAAAAGTCTGGTCACTCTGAGTCACTGTGGAGGGGCTGGAAGAGAATCGACTCCGTGAAATCTGTGTAACTACAGATGGCTGGGACTAGGAAGTAGTGCAGTGCAGGGTTTTCTCTTTTAGCTTTGATGTGCACCATGAGTGCCTCTTGCTGGTGCCAAGCTGGCCACCAGTGAGAGATGGAGCTTCCAGCAGGCAAGGACCGGGCGTTGGTAGCTGTAAATTACAGCTGCAGCCTTCAGATGTCCCAGGAGCATCCAGACAGCCTTGAGAGAGCAGTGCTGGCGCAACGTGCACAGTGAAGCGCGCAGTTCATGGCTCCTCTGCATGGGTTTCAGCTGGTTCGAGAGGCGGTCCCATGCAGAGCACCCTGGCGCAGGCTCGAGGTGCGGAGGGGTGCGATGGTGGCAGTAAGGGTGGGCACCCAAGGTGACAATGCTGTGGGCTGTAAGGATGGAGGGGTTCTGGGCTGCTGTTATGCAGAGCGTGGCCGTGGTGGAGAGGCCTCGTGGGGTGGCAATGACCACACTGCCAGGTCCGTCAGCTCACCGTTGTCTCCAGGTGTTTCCTGAGGCTGTTAGCTCTTCTTCTCGCTGTAGCAGATGTCACATGTCCCCTATTTTGGACAGGGACCTGTGGCTGATGGTAGTGTTTTTACCACTGGCTAGAGGAGCTGAGTGGCTCACAGTACTAACTGCAAGAAGCTCTAAAGCCAAGATCACGGGTTCTGCCTAGGAAGGCTGGTGCCAGGGTCTGTGCTAGCTCTTTGTGGTGGGATGCAATGGTGCTGTGCGGTACAGGCAGGCTTTCAAGCTGCTTATCAAGTCCTACAGCCATCAGCGTTGCCATCTTCAACTGGGCTGCCCTTTGCTTCCATGCCTTGCGCAGCAGAGAGATGCTGGTGCTGCAGCAGTCCACATCATCCCTGCCTCCTTGAGAAGGAGAGCTCAGGTATCAACTCGGTCTCAGAGCTTGTTTCTTAGGACTTTTGCTGATGTGTGTTCCCGTGTCTGCCCTCAGCCTGTATGCAGGGTGACTCAAAGGCAGCTGAACATCACTGTGCAGAAAAAAGAGAGTAACTGGTGGGAGAGACTCACCAAGCAAGAGAAGCGCCCGCTTTTCCTAGCTCCTGACTTCGACCGCTGGTTAGATGAATCGGATGCTGAAATGGAACTGAAGGTGAAGGTCAGTCCTGTGGGCGCGTGTGGCTCGTGCTGCCAGCTACAAAGCAAGGGTAGCTGTTCCCCTGCACGTGACCGTGTGTTCTTCGTTTACCTGGAGTTGTCTGGCATGCTGATTGTTACTGCTGTTTCATACGGGTCCCACGTAGAATTGGTTAAACGGCTCAGATTGTAAGCAGGAGTGCAGAAATAGGCACGTTTCTGGCTAGAAAGAGCAGCAGCGTGAATCTGAACTGGTGGCTGTGTGCTAGCTCAGCGCTGGCCAGGGTCTGCAGCCGAAGGCTTGCACGCCTTGCTCGACGCCTTCGCAGCCCTGTGTCCTGATCCGTATGAAGATCATATCCATGTGCCATATGGAGTCCTGGGCCTTGCTTGTCTGGAAAGCAGGGATTTCTAAAGCTCTTTCCTGAGCCACTGGGTGAGCCCTGATGGTGCATTCCCACCATCTGGTAAGCTCGAGCAGCTTACTGCAGCAGGGAGGTGCAAGATTGTCTTGGAAAAGGCTTGAACAGGCCACATTTCTGCAAATCTGTTTTACAACAAACGCTGCCCTGTTCCCCTCCACAGCCACTGAGCTTAGCGCGGAGGAGAAAGGGCCGCTGCAATGCCAGGAGCCAGAAAGCAGTGGTGAAAGGCAGGCAGAGAGCCTGGGCTGGACGTTCTCAGTTCCCTTCAGGTCACTGGTGGGTCATGAAATGTTTTAAGGAACAGCTCTACAGCTCTAAGAAACAGTAATAACTGAGAATTAACACAGAAAATAGCAGGCTTTTTCAGCAAAAGCATCTAATTACTAGAATAAAATACATGGTGAAGGCAGGATAACTAGTTAACACCCTCTAGCTTTTACTCTACCGTAATTTCTGGATGATGAATGTGCTGTTTTATGCAGGTGAAAATTTAAACCCTCTAGCAACTGGCTGCTTAGCTGAGTTTTAAAACCACTAGCTTTGCAGTAGTATAGTTAACAAATCGCTTGCTAATTACAGTAACAGTCTTTAAAACCTTATCCTTCATCTTAAGGAAGAAGAAAAGATTAACAAAATGAAAATAGAATCCAGAGTCCCAAAAGACCGTAAGTAACCGTACCTTTTCAGCGCGTAAGGTGGGGTTTAGAAAGCTGCTGTCACTCTTATGTGCGAACCTCAACTCTTATAGAGCAATTTTAACTGGCTTGGTGCATCTTGGAGGGGGATCTTTGTATTGTGAACTGTTTAGAAATTTAATAAAAAATGGACTGCAGTTTCCAAGGAATTTTAAAAAATCTGACTAGCGAGAATTGAGGTCTGCTAGATGATGGTAAAAGCAGGCAGAACCCTGAGCGCATGCAGCAACCCTTTTATCGCAGTCAGTAGCTTCCCTTTTGTAAGCTTGATTTCTCATAGAAAGCCTGGTTTGCAGCTGTGCTCTTTGCAGAAGCGTTACCATTGTACTCTGCTCACCTGATGTGTTTATTATTGACTTTAGCTTTCAAACACCTGAAGAAGGGATACTTAATCATGTATAATCTTGTACAGTTTTTGGGATTCTCTTGGATTTTTGTGAACATGACAGTACGACTGTTCATCTTAGGAAAAGGCAAGTAATAAACACTATTTTATTTACATTGGGGGTTTACATTGGGGGTTTTGTTTTGGTTTCTTAGTGTTGTTTTTAATACTTTCTAAATAGTGAAATCTAGAGGAAGGCCTATTTAGGAAACAAAACTGTAAACGCATGACCGAAGTGCGCAACAAAAGCCTCTCAAAAGCCATCTTGGTGTCAAGCACAGGAAAATACTGTCCTCTTGTACATCACAACTGCATCTTCTCATGATTGCTTGTACTCTCCAAGATTACTTCTAAAGAAATCAGTTGGAGCAAAATGTCTCGCTCACTGCAATGTTAGCATTTTCAAAAATGAGCCGGGCAGAATATTTTGGTTTTGAAGCAAGAATGATTTCATTCTATTGAGGTACAGCGCTGTCGCTTTTTATGTAAAGTAATTACTGAAATGGCTCTTGATCCTTCTGTGTGTGAAACAGAGCAATGTTTCTGGCCTAACTGCTGTGACTTCAAGATAAGGCCTATAAAGAAGTTACATAATTATGCATAACGTTATTTCCAAATACAGCTAGAATCCTGTTATCAAAAGCTATGCTGCTGCGCCAGCTTCCTGAATATGGAAATTCCTTTGTTGTCTCAAATGGTTTCCTGTGTCTTACAGATTCCTTCTATGATACATTCCACACTATTGCCGACATGATGTATTTCTGTCAGACCCTGGCATTCATGGAGATCATGAATTCACTAATAGGACTGGTCAGATCACCGCTGATACCTACTCTACTGCAGGTAATATTTTAAGAGTTTTCTCCTTGTTCTTCCCATGTTTAAAGTAACTCCCTATTTTACACAAGTGTTGAGACTCTCCTAAAACACGTGATACAACCTCACTGGCACTGGACTAGAGAATGTGTTATTCAAGAGGCAGGAATCCGCGCTTCCCAGTCTTAGCTGTGGCAGACTGTCTTCCTCCATCACCTACGTAAGATACTTCAGGACAACAAAAGCAAGAAGCGGCTGATGAAAAGTACGCGATTTTGATTTGGTGCCAGTGCCCTTTTTATCCCGGTTGTGGTTGTTGTGCATAAAAATGAGGATAAATGATTTAAGACGAGGTCCCTCGCGTTGCACCTAAATCCAGAGCAAAATGCGTGCTCATAAGAAGCAGGTCACGGCTCAGCTGCAGAGTTAGTTATGTGCTCAGCATGTTTCGGGCGTGAAGAGCAGATACCCTGTGTGGTTTTGACAGCAAGGACTCACTCTTTCTTTTGATGAAGAGTGTGACTGTTCCTTAATTTGCTTTTCTTAAACAGGTACTTGGAAGAAACTTTATTTTGTTTGTTGTCCTCGGAAGCTTAGAGGAAATGCAGAACAAACCTGGGGTGTTCTTCGTATTTTATTTCTGGAGTATCATTGAGCTGTTCAGGTTTGTGGGATTTTTTTTCTCTATCAGGTGTGTACAGAGCAATGTGGTCATTCCCAAGAACTCTTTAAAGAAGATTTTGATCCTTGTACCTTTTGTAAGAGTGGCTCCAGTGCATTGGCCCCAGAGGGTAAAATCTCCTTTAGACACGAACTATCACAGCCTTCCTAGCTTGCTCCATCTGCCAAAAGCTGGGACAAGGCTGGAGTCTGAAAATAATACTACCCTTAACCTAGGGAAACCTGTTGCTTTTTTCCTTGAGGGCTCTGTTGCTTGGCATTTCCATTGTTAAGTGAGCTGCCCCACGCTGTGTTTCTCTTTCAAAAGAAGTATTTTGAAAGATTTGTTAGGCAAGCCAGGCAGTTACATTCACCCATATAGTCAGAATAATAGCATTAGTTCTGTAAATGGCCAAATAAGGCTATGTCCATCATGATCCATAGGAACAATTTTTTGAATACTCTTGTGTCATTTGGGAATTATGTTGACCATACAGCATATATATGCAAGACTAATTCTAGCAGCGGCTTCCATTTTAAACAGTGTCTGTTTCTTCTCACATTGAATTGGCTTTAGGTATCCATATTACATGCTTTCATGCATCGGTATTGAATGGAAACCACTAACCTGGCTCCGTTACACTGCCTGGATCCCTCTCTACCCCTTGGGAGCCTTGGCAGAAGGTATGTCCAAAAAAGACAGTTTAATAAATAATGCATTCAAGGCTGGGCAAGTAACTCGATTGTTTTTGGCTGCTGGACTTAATAGAATAGAACAACAGATAGACATTTGCTTTGAGCTGAACCAAATGTAAGCATATTTGTCTTTCTTACTGAATCAAGTGTTTTTTTCAATTTAATGTGAAAAGAAGTCTTCCTTTTGGGCACTGGAGAGGAAAGTAAGGGCAACAAAAGGTTACCTGAACAAAGTGACCAAGAGCACACTGCAGTCCATGCGAGCAGCACAGGACGACAATGTTCACTCGCCTCTGCTGATCCAAAGCAGTGTATTTGCTTTGGTCTGCTCGACCTGACTTGGTCAGCCTAGCTTGGGTTCACACCAGCTCCCAGATCTTGACGTTGTCTTGTCAATCATTGCATAGGACAGGCAGGGGCCGATTCTTCCTCTGAAAGCAGCATAGCCTGTTCCGAGGCGGGCACGGTGCTGCCCAGACAGGGCTCTGCTCCCTCTCTGCTTTCTCCGTGGAAGAAGCGGGTGCCCAGTGTTCTTGCTGTAGGCCCTCTGGGCGGGGGGCTTTACAGTGACCTCTCCTGTCTTAACAGGTCCAGATTATTTTTAATTTTTATTTATGTAAGAAGCCATATCACCACTCGGCTTCTAGCTGTAAGAAATGTGTTGTGATCATACCTGGGAGAACCTGTTTCTGTGAGCCAGGAGTAGGCTTGGGCATTGCCCAACTCCAAGCACAGGAAAGACTACGCCTGTGTCGTTGCTGTGGATATTTCTGCACGGTAAATACTGCCGGCACGGGCCCTGCAGGCTACAGTTGTGTACAAGAACAGTGTCTCACCAGGCAAGTTCACTGTGCTTAGACTTTCATAGCTGAACTGCTGTACTGCCTCAGCTAGCTGCTTTCCATTATACTGCATGTTTAAAAAAAAAAAAGCTTTAAAATTGGTATAATTAATGAGAACTAACAAATAAGAAGGGAGTATCTTGGAAAAAGTTGATGTGGGCTGGGCAATTGTGTATTTTATCTGTGTTTGATAATGATGGTGGCCTTCTGCTTTCAGCCGTCTGTGTCATTCAATCCATGCCAATCTTCAGTGAAACAGGGAAATTTAGTCTGGGATTGCCAAATCCACTGAACGTCACAATCCAGTTTTCATTTTTGCTTCAAATATGTCTTATAGTCTTGTTTTTAGGTAAGACATTTAATTGTATTTCTCACTGTTGAAATAAAAAGGCCACTTTCCTCTGAATATTTTTCAAAGAAAATTAAATTCCTGCATCAACACAAAATTGCTTGAGATTAAGCATTATCCTTGTTGCTTGGTTATGTAAATTTGTCAGTGATGGAGGGGAACAGACCTACAATTAGCACGGGTTAGCCCCCCCCCCCCAAGAAGGAGACCTCGGTAACAAGTTATCTGCTGATCACCTGGGCTAAAAGAATAATTTTTACATATATTTATAACCTCAGTATGCTTAGTTTCACCTTTTACGTGGTATTTGAGCTTTGGAATGATTTAGTGGAAATCTAAATATAATTTCAAATTGAAGCAATGTTTAACTAAATTGCATTATAACCACTAATGCAACATGAAGTCATGTTTTTCCAGGAAACAATATAGAAGGCTCTTTAAATAGTATATTTAAAGAAGAATGGTGCTTGATACATATCTGGTTTCTGGTGTTACATTTTTAAACATAAGTTACCTTTTTTAAGTTAAGAAGCACAGCCAGTATGGGTATCCACAACTCCATAGAATCTAAGCTAGAATTTTAATCTGAACTTTCACTAGATTTCTCCCTTTCACAGACACTGCTTAAAGAATACCTTTAATTGAGTTTCACTCTGAAATACCTGCTTGATCCTTCCCCAGCTCTGCACAGCCAGTGTTGCAACTTTTTAAAAGTGACAAACCAACCTTCTGAGCAGCCCGGTACCAAACAGCCTGTGCAGCAACTCCTGCCTCACCCAGCAAGAAAAAAACTTGCATTATATTTCAAGGCTATACACGCTTATATATAAGCTATATACGCTTAAGCCATTGCTTTTTTGTGTGGTGGTTTGATTGTTTGGTGTTTTTTTTTTTTAATTTGGTACAGCCATCTAGTATTAAAAAGATGCGGTAATGTCCTACCTAAACACTTCGTTCTTTTTCAGGGCTATCTGTAAACATCCGTCATCTCTACAAGCAAAGGAAACAGCACCTCGGACCAAAGAAGAGAAAGATGAAGTAAAGGAGGACTGCAATGCTTTCTTATCTAACTTATCTCAATGACAAGATAAGCCTCTAATTCTTACGGTTTTACCCACTGTAATGGAAAGAATTTTGTAAAATTAAATGATCACGCTAGATTTCATAGTGAATTCAGGTAACATTCCCATATATTGTATTTTGTTCCCTTTCAATCACGTATGCATGGCATTTACCATTGAACAGTAACATTTAAACCTGTATCCTGTCAACTACCGTATTAGAAAGAAATCCTATGATCTGCATATAATATGCTTATAAACAGTGGAGCGGCACTAAATAGAAAATAGTGTTTATCTTTTAATTGGATATTTGCTCTGTCAATATTGCATGCAGATAGGGCTTCTGATGTCGGGATATACTACGAGCTGGCCCATGCTGTTCCTAGGGTGCATTCTGATGGCAGGAGGAACGCGGCCACTGTGAACGGTATTTGGGTGTTTATTAATGGTATTAATGGCCAAGGTAAACCTTGCTCAGCACATACCACCCCTTTTCTTCTGCAGCATACTGAAGCTGCAGAATTGAAACTGGAAGCAGCTAATGTCAATTTAAATGCTACCATCTTAGTCTGTTTCTAGTTTGGCCTTAACAGAATAGGAGCGCTGTGTGGATCCTAGCATTCCTGTAGCAACACATCCTTATCCAGTCGTTGGGGAAAGGAAGCTGCCACTCTGTGACACGGTCAGAAATGCTTTCCTGGTTGGTAATGCAAGTGCTGAAATGTAACAAAATAAGGAAACATAGGTACCAGCTTTCTCCTAGCACGTGAACCCTAACAGAACTCCGTCCCACCCATGCAAAGGGAGAACGTGGAACTGTCACTGGAGAGTGGGCTCCTCCGATCATTCCTGGCAGGGCTGTAGCTCCTGTATTTATAGCCTTCAGAAAGGTGTAAAGATTGCTTTTCTGCTTAAACTTAGGGGTGCGGCTGAGAATTTGCTCTATACGCTTTGTTGGCTGGCCCCTGGTGGGATGGAGTAGTGGGTCAAAATAACCGTGTATTATTTTGATAGGACATATCAAATCTCAGTAAGGGAGATGCCACACAGGGTTTGAAGGGACCCTTTCCTCTGTGCTTGCTTTAAACAACAGCAACAACAAAGAAGAGAAGCTCCCCCCACATTCTGGGTCGTCTGCTCTCTCACCTGGAAACCTCTGTTTCAGTTGACTTTATCAACGTGCCCTTCTTCACACCTAGCCTCCCACTTTAATTCCAGATCCCTCTGGCCTCCTTAATCCAGTTCAGAAAATGTACAAAAAGTTTCCTCTGCACCGTATTGTGGTTATGAACAGGTCGGTTCACATTAACTGCCGCTGCGCCCAGGGCAATGCAAAGCAATGCCAGCAATCCAGAACAGACAAGTTGAGATTAGCGTAGTGCCATGTTACTATTTATCTTTTTCTACTGTAAACAGTATGAATACTCCAGAACATTATTTTCTATATGAAAGGTAACAAAAAACTTACTGTTTGTGATACGGACCCAGTGATTGTTACTGGAGAGGAAGGGTAATAGCGTTACATGGAGATTTTAACAAAGAACTGGTAATAAGCTCCACGCTGCATTTCACAAACGTGTTCTGTCAACAAGAGGAATGATGCAACTTCTCTTTAGGGATACTTGAGGCTCGCACTCAAAGGAGCGTGCAGCTTACTTAGTTCTGAGTTGAGCATTATTTACACAATATTTCACTACAGCACACACTGCACCTATGGTTGAAGTATGTCAAAGGATTGAATTAGCTGAGTAATGGAACAGCAAGGATCACTTTCATACTTTAATTTCTCCACTGGGCATTTAAACTTCTGTTACGGAATCCATATGTATTCATACATGATATTTCTCAGTGAAACTGTGGTATCTAGTGCAAGCTGTCATGGATCTTACACTACTGAATTTTAGTCCTTCAGAAAGAATGTGTTTCTATTAATAAAGATTTACGACCAAATTTTGCTTTCGTTCAGTTGTTTGTTCTTTCCCTGAATGCAAGAAGTTGTATAATTTATCATTTAACTCTTGTGATAAACAGCTGGGAGCCAAGCCTTCACTAGGTCCATGGTTTTTTTTTTAGGCCACACAGCCTAGTTGCTATGAAAATGGAACAAATCCAACTTAAGTTTCCATGAAGAATTACTCTTTATTAATATTACACAAATAAAAAAAACTTGTCTCACAAGATTAAGTTACTTTCACAAGCATGAGCACTGCAATGCCAGTGATAACTCGTTACGGCAGTACAGACTGGCTCTCAAGTCGGGTATAAAATCAGTGATGACACCCTGAAATTAGCTGTGTATCTGATCTTGCAGTGATTCTTACACACGTTTTCTTTGGACTAATCAAGTCGGCGTATAAAGTGTAGCAGCTGCCTTTTAGGATACTTTTACCAGTAAGTTCAGTTATGTAGTAACTGCGTTTTAAGGAGGCCAAAAGCCACGAGCACTCTGCTGCCTATGATGGCATTTTCTTTCTCTCCTCACATGCACTGAATAACTTCCACCCATCATCCAACACAGGAACTGACTTTAGGACACTTTCCACAGTTTCCAGGTCTGACTAAAGCCACCACAAACTAGCTACATTTATTTAGAGAGCACTGATGCAGGTAAGGGACCCTGTTTTGATAGGAAGTTCTCCAAACAGTAATTAAACAGGCCCTAGAAAGTAAACAGCACAAGAAAATTTGAACCACTTGAGTCTTAAATCTATAGAAGTTCCCAAAAATGGAGACTTCACATTCTTTCAGTGCTGCTACTGGAAAAGTCTGTCTGCAGTGGAGCAATGTTATGATCATAGGCAGCATATTCCGATGCTCCAGTACTTGCCACTTTAAGCTGCTGAGCAGCGTGTGTGAGCTGAAACGCTGCATCGGGATGAGCTGTGTCAGGAAGCAGGGTGCACTCCCGCTCCAGCATGTCTGCCACGCCTTTCAAGAGGTCCAAAAAGCCAAAGGCCAGAGCTGCCTTTCGTAAACGATTAAGTTCCTGCAAAGAAGGAAAACCCCTTTTAAAGCCATGGTAAACCTTTACATAAAACGTGGGTTTCTTTCTTCTTTTTTTAAAGGCAAGGTTATTCACTTAGAGGAAGATAACCTGAGTGATGAGTACAGCTGCTGGAAACTGCCCAGCTGCTCATGAGATAAAAAAATGCTTCAGGGCTGAAGATGATAGTGGCACAATTAAACAGCTGGTTTTCCCTTGATCCCTTCCTCTAAATCTCCACTTCTCCCTTTTCCCTTTTGTGCATTCAGCTCTCGTACCTGCCTGTTTTGCCTGTGTCCCAGCTGGGACTGGCCTACAACTTAGGCTTCACTGACTCCTGCCTTAAACCAGTGTCCAACAAAATTTATGTTGATTTTTCTTCACTACAAACTGACAAGTGCTTATGTGCATTTAAGCAGGGTATTCATTGAAGTCTCTGGGGGCTATGATAACAAACTGCTTCAGCACTAAGCTTACAAAAGGAACAACAATTACCTCCAGCTACAGTCTAGATTATGGATTATTACGATGCAGCCAAATGTGCCTGGAATTTTGTCTTTGTCTGCTTTGGCTGTAGAAAAAATGTAGGAGGTATTTTCAGACTCAGAATGACATGTGTTCCTATTCCTCTCTGATCCCTCAGTTTATTTCTGCCTGGACAACAGCATAAAATCTGTAAAAAAGTTCACCACGGAAGTAGCAGGGATCACGAGAGGCACCTGTAAACATGGCATGTCTATGCCACCCTGCCAGAGAACGTGGTGGCAGGGAAACCAGACCCCCTTGTCTCACCTTAACTAGTCTGTAAAATAGATCCAGGATGTCTCCTTTACAGAACCATGTATGTTTTTGCAGAGCCCTACAAGCCTGCACAGAACATACCACAGACACAGACAGTAGGTGTTCCTCTGTCAAATGCACCACTATCTTTATGGATCAAACTTGGGCCGGCCTGAAATGTTACTCACTTTATAGAAGGTTTGAGTTTTTTCAGGGAGTTTCCTTGCATTTCTCAAGATCTTCTGCACATCCGTCTGCAGAAAAGAAAAAAAAAAATTAAAAAATCTTGGCAACTGCTGAGGAGCTGCAGAAAAAATCCTCAACTATTTATTGATAAATTATCCTGACCATGGACAAGACTGCAGCTCACAAAGGCTGAAACATAAACAGTAATTATACTAAATCCAATAAACTAAGCCAGATGCTACACTGGAGACACAGCTTTCATTAAACAAGCTATGCTTTCTGATTGCATTTTAATAATGACATTTTAAAGAGGCAGTGTTTATAAAAATGAAAGATAAGCAATAAAGCAATTACATTAAACGGACAAGACACACACAGACTCCTCTTTGCTGGTAAGATGGCTACTGCTGATGAAAGTAAAGCATCAGCTCCAAAACCTGGATCATTACCTGGAGGCCACTTGGTTTGATCCACACGGTAACATTCTGTGCGTAACTGCGCTTGTTCTTGGGTTGCAAGGGGAAAGGACTCTTATTGTCATCCTCTCCGTAAGGATTTTCTTTTGCATCTGGGGCGGGGGAGAAGAAAATAAAAAGAACTTGACAACTAAGACTTGGCAAGGTCATTCACACAAGAAAACGCTGGATGTGTAAGAGTTACTCAAATGAGTGTGTCTAGTACCTGAAATAGGTCCAAGCTGTGCCATCTTCCCGAGCCATGGAAGGGGCTCAGGACCAGGTTCAAAGAGCGACATCATGAGGTTTGATTTCTTCTTGCTATCAGCTTGTGAATAGAGCATTCCATACCACTCTGACCTATTGAAAAGAGCAAATCCCAAAGGCTGAAAATCTTCCGCCCCTCTTTGCCCAGAATTTGCCTCCCTCCCACTCTGTAGAGGCTCGCTATTTGTGATTTATAGCGGCAGAAACATATCCGCAATTAAAAATCCACAGCTTTGTCTAGCAGTGCAGAGTTCTGTACAGAATACAGATATAAATAAGCATAATTTATAAATAAAGCATAAATGAGCAAAGTAAGAGATTTTTCAGGCAGACATCCAGCTCCATACCCCAGCTGGACGACAGCCACCATGCCTTCCACTTTCAGGCTGCCATGTAATAAAACACAGAAGTTGGGGATTTTCCCGGCAATCTGATTAGCTGAATTCTCATCTTCAGTGTCATCGGTGATCCCAGGTCCCACCTCATCACCTTCTGGGGAAGAATAAAAATAAACAAAGAGACAATATAAGAATAAATTCAAACACACTAGTTCCACTTCCATGACACCACCCTGTATTTTCTGCCATGCAAGAGTTAATTAATACTTTTGTAGAATGAACAGCTGCTAAATGAACTGTTTGGGCAAAGTGGCACTATAATGTTATATAAATACTCCACTGCATCCTAGTCACAAAACAAAGTTACCAAAAAACTGCAAATAAAACCTCAGCTTTGAAGAAACCCGGAGTGAAATAAAACGGCACCAAGAGTCTGGCAA